CCCTCTCTCTGCCCCCCTTTCCTATCTAGTTTCAGTTGTCACTATCAAATAAAGGCAATAAAAGCTCAAAATATATATATATATATAAAAGAAATACAGATCGACATCACAGCATGTCCTAGGAAAACTTCTCACACCTTTTCACCTTCAATATAATCAATCTACATTATCGTCAGTAATGTTTCAGTTATTAATAATTTCCCTGAAGAAGATCACAAAAGAAGAACATGGGAATAATATTAATTTGTTGTAAACCTTTGTGTTTGTTGAATTGTTTAAAATCAACAAGTAAGTAAAATGATTTTCCATCCACTATCACAATGATCTTTGACCTGCGCAGACAGACTTAAAGATCCTTCTGGAGTCCTGTCGTAGTCTACGTGAACCCCTTCAGGTCTGATCCTGATCTCAGAAATAGAAACAGATCTACTTCCTGCGCCCCTCAGGACCAACTTCTCTGTGGACTGTCAAGGATTAAACCAGTAGTCTGTGGTATAACTGGATCTGTTGGGACCGGCTGGACACCGTCCACGGTTTCCATGGCAACTGTAGACTCAGAGACAGGAAGTTGAAGTGTTGCGAACATTTGGTTTTGAATGTCATGATGGTGGAGTTGCTGAAGTGTTAATAATCTCACTGAAGACACTATTTCTTCTTCTTTGGTGTGAAATACTTCAGGGTTCAAACCGAAGCACAACTGCACAGACTGTCCCTTTAATCAGTCTCACTATTTATCTGTTTCACAGAGCACTTTATCTCTGAAATATTGTTCATTTCTTCATTAAAGGACCAGGTTGTGTTCCTGATGAGTTGTTAATGAGAGTGATCAGTTCATGAGATAATCTTATAACCTTTTAAGGTAAGGAAAAATCAAGAAGTGCAGGTTTATAAAACTAATAAAAATGGACTCTTAAAAACTGCATGTGTTTGAGGTTTCAGCTGTATACTAAAAAACAATTAATAAAATGATATATTATGTAAATATATATAAAACAACAGATATTTTATACTGTTAAACTAATGTGTTCACATACTTGATTCTTCAATGCAAAACTGTTGAATATAGAGATATATATTCTTTTTATGTATTTGTATATATGTGTATAGATACTCACCAAAAATGCTGGGTTAAAAACAACCCAATCACCCAACCACATTGGACCAGGTAACTATTGGACCGACACAATGCTGGGTTAATTGTAGCCCCATAAGAATGGTTGAATATTTTATCCAAATGTTGGTTTACATTAGCAGAAATGTTGAGTTACTTCTACCTCAAGTTTTGTTACAATAGAATCTGTAAAATAAATATTTATTTTAATAGACTACACATCTATTAAACAGTTAAATTACTTGAATATACATCCAAGGTTTGGTAATGGAAACCATACATGTATACAATAAACAATGCATCCTCCTTTATTAAAATCAGTGACATGGCAACGTTTCATATAAAGCTCAATAGTGCATGCATGTTTTCAACCGAAACAACCACAGTGTTCCATCTGTGCTGCTCATCATTATAAATACACTAAACTGACATATCTGTAACATACTGTACTGATTCTCAGTGCATGTTCTGTATTTCCTATTATTATATTTAACAAATAAATTTTTTTTTTGGAGGCTTCAACATACGTCAGTCGCTGTAAGAATTTAAATATTTTATGGGTCTCACTGGCGCCCCCTATAGAGCAGCCTCAGATGTACGTGTAACCCTCTGGGACCCATACCCAACAGGAAGCCATTTTGGATTGAGTGGCCATTTTTGGCGATTTGCACACATTGTATTTTAACTATTAATTAATCAGGTATGTGCATACATACAAAGGAATTTGACTCTTTGCTAAATGTACACACAGACTAACAGCATAAATAAACAGAACATCAATAAGATTTGTAGACAGCAGACAATATGGCAAAGGATATTGAACTAAATATTTAATGTGCAAGTTTCTTTGTGTATATTGGGTAGGTGGATATGACAGTATATACTGTATATATATATACAGCATATGTAGATGTATTAGAGTGATAGTATTTATGGTTTATGTTTTTAAAAATAAATTTTAACAATGGGAAAATAATTAATAGTTTCCAGATTCAGTGGATGAGTCGTAGGGTTATTGTACAGGGCAGTTAACTGTTGGTCCGAGTGATAATTTGTGGGTAAAACTGTGTCTGTTTGTTTTGGCGTACAGCGCTCAGTGTTATCTAAAGACCATCAACATGCTCTTTGCATTAAACGATGGGTCCTTGGCATCAAGAAAAATGGCCACCCACCTAGAGTCGGGGTCTGTCCGAGGTTTTTCTCTCTTAAAAGGAAGTTTTTCCTTGCCGCTGTCTTCAAGTGCTTGCTCATGGTGGCTCTGTTCTATTTGAAAAGTGTCCGGATAACTTCTGTTATGAGACTGGCGCTATACAAATAAAACTGAGTTGGCTACTGTAGAAAAAAAAAATTAAATATTGTAAAAATAAAAATAAATACAATAAAATACTGAATTAAGGAAGCGTTGCATACAACACTTCTCATAATTAATGTAGGCTAGTGTAAACATATATCACACAATTGAATTCATACTTTGATATAATTTCACATGCTTCCCTACATCCTCAATTCACACAATATAAAGCTGCCTCTGCTCACCTTCCTTTGAACACATTTAATTGCAGTAAAACATTTCTCTCTTCTGTCTCACGGGTCACGATTACTAACCGTAGATTAGTTAGGATGGGTTCAGAGGTGTTAGGTTTGGTTAGTCTATTAGTATAAACTTTTAACATTTCTGTGGTTGATTTGAGGTCCATGAAATAATCTGAGCCTATGGAGAATACACAATGCTTATATATACATACACATTAGCACCGTCCTATTCAACTAAACTGTGTGTAAAAACAACCTAATTACAAAATAGAAATATGATATTGATACATTTGTTATTGATTATGTTGCATTAGTGCAACATTTTCATGTTTCCATTAAAGGTTTGTGTGATACATTTCCATGACCTGATGATGAAAACTAGTTAAAGCTTATGTCATTTTCCTCATAGGATGCATGCAAGGTCAACTTCCTGTTTGATGATTGCCCCGCCCACCACATCAATTAGTGCATGCCATTTTGAGTATTTGGTTTCACGCTGTATGCCCCAATCACCCTCCATTCATCCACTTCACTATTCGTTCAAACGTTTTCTTTTTAGTGAACTTTATTCTGTAGTGTTTTGGACTTCCGGTCAGGCAGACTACGGACGCGCTCCAGCCCTTCAGGTCCTTCAGCGCTGCTCTTACGTCATCACGCAGGCATCGCAGGGCCGTCAGTTAGCAGTTAGCAGTGTGTCCTGAGCAATAACAGGTTCGGTTCCGGTTCCGGTGAGTTCCGGTGAGTTCCGGCAGGTAGCTGACGTAGACATGTACTACAGACTGAACGCAGTGACGCAGCGGCTCACCGGAGCTCCCGCCAGCGCTTACAACCCGCAGGTGAGTCCCGAACAGCGCGTGGCCTTGTTAGCACCGTTTGGTAACAGCAGAAACAGTGTGGTGATCAGTTATCGATCCGTTTATCAATAAATCAGATAGAAGAGGTTCCAGTTCACCTGATCAACCCCCTCCTGCTTGTGTTATTGATGGTCAATGACGTCAGAGAATTGATTACATTAAAACGATCAATCAATAAGTCACTGATATTGATCAGATGTTTTCTTTCACATATAAAACCATCAATAGTCAATAGTATCTGTAACTTTATTTAAGTATATTCATTGATGATTGATGAGTCATTTATCAATCCATCGTCTGCTGACAGTAAACTGGACTGATGATTGATGAACTTATCAATAATAATATATATAGATAATCAATAATCAAATCATTTAATCAGTTTGATTCTGTTTATCTGATTATTTTGACTGCAGTCATTACATGAATGATCTGAAATGACTCAATGTATCAATTAACAGAATAATCCTCAGCAACTATTCTGATCAATAATTAATTAATCAGTCAATAAGTAATGAAAGAATGGGGATTGATCAATATTTTCTTACCTGAATTTGTTGGTTGTCATATAAACAGTAAACACTCCTTTGAACTGAATATTGATCATCTTGCTTATTAAAAATTGTTCATTTATTGGACATGTTTCTAATAATAATGATAATCAATGATTATAATTATTGATTGTTATTAAATAATCATTGGTAATAACTATAATTAATCTCTGTCTGTAAATAATGTTCAATATAAAATACAAAGACTATAAATACAATGAAATTAAAGATAAGAGAAGACAGAAAAAACAAATAAATATATAAAATCCAAACCAAACAACCTTCCATTTGTGTTGCAGTGTGTCAGTAATATATTACATATATTATATTATATATATTATATCATATTATATATTCTATATATTAAATTAAATACATATATTATAAATATATGTAAATATAATGTTGATGTGTTACTGTCAGTTTGCTCTGTGTGTGAATCTGATTCTATCAGGTGGTTTTAATTGTAATCAATAAAGGGAATTGGTCCAGCTCTGCAGTCGTGGTTCAGACACTTTCAGTGGACTCTGTGTGTTTATACTCCAGACCAGTGGTGGGCAATTAATTTTGACAAGGGGCCACATGAGAAACCTGAACTGTGTTGGAGGGTCGAACCAACAATAACTAGAACTTAATTCTGCTCCATATTAATTCCCTCCCATTGTAAAAAGCAGTAAATTATATATATTGATTAGCTGCTGCTTGTAATCAGAAGAATAAGGATGTAAATATTTATATAAATATATGAAATTGTGGTGTAGGTCAAATAGGAAAATACTCCTATAGAAGTAATGAACAGTAAAAACAATAATTACATCAGTGTTTCATTTTATTTTTAACATTTTAATCTTCATAAATACTGAAAAGGTGTTTTGCAGAATGTTTAAGATAAGCAGTTGGTCACCTTTATACAAAAAGCTATAAGTGCTTTTAATGTTTTTCAGTTCATTATACTTCCAGTTTGTCTAACGCTTGAACAAGTGCATTGAAATGTGGCTGAATGTCTGAGGTGGATATGTGAAGGACAGCTGAGAGCTGATCATCAGTGATGGAGGATCTGTATCTGGATTTGTTGAACATCATCACTGAGAATGTCTGTTCACATACGTAGGTAGATCCAAAGAGGACTAGAATCTTCTGAGCATGCCTCCTCATGTGTGGAAAGTTCTCCTCTTTGAGGAAACAGTAAAAGCAGTGAGACTAACCTAAAATGCTCTGCCAGACGTGTGTCAGACTGCAGGTCAATGACTTCCATCTGAACATCACTGGGTGCATTATCCACGCTGCAGGCAGAAGAAACCATGTGCATTTCACTCGCAACTGTTTTAAAGTCTTGAAATCGCCGGGAAAACTCCCCATGCAGTGCTTCTAACATGGATGAGTACCTGTGGAGGTGATCAGCTGATGGTGTGGCTTCCTTCAGTGTTGGCAAGAGGGTGAGAATGTTGTCCTCTAATTGGCTTGAGAGAAGCTGCAACTTCCTCATGAAAGCCTTCACTGCGCTGTACATTTCATGCACAAAAAGGTCCTTGCATTGCAGTTTGACATTTAGTTAATTCATTAGTGCAGTCACATCTACAGCAAAACCAAGGTCTGCCACCCAGTCTTTATCTGAAAGCTGGGGGATGTCCTTTCCTTTCTTCACACAGAACTCACAAATCCCTTCTCTCAAGTCCCACCTGATAGCTGTGTGGTAGCTTATGTCACCATGTTCAGTCTCATTTTCCTCCAAAAGACAAACTGTTCACTGATTAATTGCTCTGGCCCTGATAAAGTGAATTATCTTAGGTACAACAACATGGTTCATCTTTAACACTGACTTAGACAACCCTTCCTGATGTATCATACAAAGTCAAAATGTCCATTTCTGTCACTTTGTCCTGCATTCTCTTCAGTCCAACATCAACAACGTCAGATTTGGACAACCATCCGTTGTCACACCTGCCAGCTTGTCCCATTTCAGTCCCAACTTGTC